GACTTTGTTCTTCATTCGCCTTCAGCCTTGATTGTGAGGCCTCACCAGCCACGTGGAACTCTGAGTCAATTAAACCTCTTTCCTTTTTTTTTTTTTTTTTTGAGATGGAGCCTTGCTCTGTCACCCAGGTTGGAGTACAATGGTGCGGTCTCAGCTAACTGCAACCTCTGCCTCCTGGGTTCAAGCGATTCTCCTGCCTCAGCCTCCCGAGTAGCTGGGATTACAGGTGCCTGCTACCATGCCTGGCTAATTTTTGTATTTTTAGTAGAGATCGGGGTTTCACCATGTTGGTCAGGCTGGTCTCAAATTCCTGACCTTGTGATCCGCCTGCCTCGGCCTCCCAAAGTGTTGGGATTACAGGCGTGAGCCACCGCACCCAGTACGCTTTCCTTTTTAAATTACCCAGTCTCGGGTATGTCTTTATGAGCCGCATGAGAACAGACTAATACACTGCTACACCTTCTCACACACTTCTGCCTCTAGGTTCTGGGTCTTTGTTCCACAATGTAATCAACATGGCTTCCTGGATTCCATGTCCTTTTCTTTTTCTTTTTTTTTTTTTGAGACAGTTTTGCTCTTGTTGCCCAGGCTGGAGTGCAATGGCATGATCTCGGCTCACTGCAACTTCTGCCTCCTGGGTTCAAGTGATTCTCCTGCCTCAGCCTCCCAAGTAGGATGCACCACCATGCCTGGCTAATTGTATTTAGAAGAGACGGGGTTTCACCGTGTTGGTCAGGCTGGTCTTGAACTCCTGACCTCAGGTGATCCACCCACCTCGGACTCCCAAAGTGCATGGATTACAGGTGTGAACCACCATGCCTGGCCCCATATCCTTTTCTTGATGTCAGTGTGTGTGCTCCTGGGCTACCAGAGGCCCCTATGCCATTTCCATCATCTTCTAAGTGCTAGTGTTTCATAGTTACTTTACTAATCTCAAACTCAGACCCTGCCAGCTCGCTGCCCAACCAACTCAGTATTAAGGAAGCTCAAGCCCCAGTATGATTAGAAACTGGATTTCTGGGAACAATCATGCCTGGTTAACACCACCATGTAAGGGTACTGTACCTAGGTACAGATGTTTGGTTATTCATGCTGCAGACAACAAGTTAAAAACATCCACTAATATGCCCAAATCTTGATATCTAAATTCCATTCTCCAATAAAATAAATCAGGGCTTGTTGGAAAAGTGATTGATTTCAGGACTGGAGTAAGAAAAATATAAGATGGTCTTGGAGTATCTTATGACGTGAGAAACATAGGAAATGCTAAAAAAAAAAAAAATATATATATATATATATATGGGCAGCTTGTTGAAAGTGTCCAGGAGGCAACCTGAAAGAGCTCCCAATGGCCAAAGCTGGAAGCCAATGAGCAAAAAAGTGAACAATAAAGTAGTACTGGATTAAACCCAAAGTATAAAATAAATATGTCCACAGTGATATAAATAAATAGAAATGACAACTCTTCCTTTTAGAATTCCAGTTAATAAATGCAGAAGGAATACAGAGAAGAGACCATCTCTGCTAGAACACTACCATAATAATTGCAGCAGATGCATTCTAAATGGATGCTAAAACTAGAGGGAGAGGTTTAAGGAGAACAGGATATTACATAGTCTCAAAGTATCTCTCCCCACATAAATTAATTAAAAAGAGAAAAACAGTCACTTTATAATGAAGAAATATGGCAATATGATACCACCTTGACAATGTGATTGAGGTTAACATGACCAGTGACAGGAAAAATAGCTAGAGGGGAACGTAAGGTCAGAGTGCTCACTCGAAACTCTGCCTCCTTTATACTCACAGGGTCATTAAAAAAAGAAAACAAACCAAAACATTCCCCCTAATCTCTGCTTTCAGACTGATCCCTCCCAGGAGCTCCTGACGCATATATATATATATATATATATATATATATATATATATATATATGTGTGTGTGTGTGTGTGTATATATATATTTATATGTGTGTGTGTATATATATATATATATTTATATGTGTATGTGTGTGTATATATATATTTTTTTACTACACACTGGCTCACTCCACCTGGTTATCCTACCTGTAGGCTTTGAATATGTATGCCCTGCCTTAGACCTTTGAGATTAGGGTCTAAACTTAAGTTCACAAAAGAAGCATCACCTCCATAGTGAATCACCTTTTCAGCATGAAGGGTGAGATCTGAAATGATCTAATCTGCTTGTATGTAATGCCTGATTTGGGTTGCACAGATGTGACGCTGGATGCTTTTGTAACCATTCCTGGAGGCAAGATTCCTTCATGACCATGTTCCATTACTCTGTGGCCATGTTCTACCTTGCTTGCTCTGACAGCCTAGCATAGAACATTTTGGCAGTTTCAGATCCTGAGTAGATGTCTGCTGGAGGAGTTAAAAGCTGTAGTCACCGGGAGAGATGCGTAGTGAGGTTCCCGGCTTAGCCATGTCTTCATGTGCCAAAGCTTTTTCATTTCCTCTCTGTATTCAGTTGCAGTTTATACGCCCTTAAATATTAACACCATTAATACTGATGTCTGAGAACCAAATCAGTTTAACTTCCTAGAAACTGCATTAGCCATTCATTCGTTCATTCATTCAATACACATTTTTTTTTTTTTTTTTGAGAGGGAGTCTTGGTCTGTCCCCCATGCTAGAGTGCAATGGCATGATCTCGGCTCTATGCAACCTCCGCCTCCCAGGTTCAAGTGATTCTCCTGACTCAGCCTCCCAAGTAGCTGGGACTACAGGCGCCTGCCACCACGCCCGGCTACTTTTTGTATTTTTAGTAGAGATGGGGTTTCACCATGTTGGCCAGGCTGGTCTTGAACTCTTGACCTCAGGTGATCTGCCTGCCTAGGCCTCCCAACGTATGGGGATTATAGGCGTGAGCCACCGTGGCTGGCCTCAATATACATTAAGTGCTAGGCAACATGTGCTAGACAATCTGATGGTGCTGGAGAAGCCTGGATAAATACATAGGACATGGTTCGTGCCTTGGGGAAGCCTATGCACATTTATCTAAACAGCCACAGATGACATGGAAAGTCTTAGGTATGTATATATACTCACATGTATGTATATACACATTTGTATGTATATACACAGGTATATACAAATGTGTATATACACATTTATATGTATATACACAGGTATATACCTGTATTTATATACATACAAATACAGGTATATACAGGTATGTATATACACATTTGTATATATCTACACACATATATGCATATATGTGCAAGTGTATATATAGTCCCTCAGAGAGAGATACATATATGTGTGTGTAGGGGGGGAACATAAAAAAAAGAGTATATGACTACCTTTTCTAAATGTGACTATAGGGCCAGGTGTGGTGGCTCCCTACTGTAATCCCAGTAAGTACTTCAGGAGGCTGAGGTGGGTTGCTTGAGCCCAGGAGTTTGAGACCTGCCTGGGCAACATGGCAAAACCCTGTCTCCACAAAAAACACAAAAATTAGCTGGGCATGATGGTGCATGCCCTGTAGTCCCAGCTACTCAGGAGGCTGAGGCAGGAGGGTCACTCGAACCCTGGAGGTCAAGGCTGCAATGAGCCAAGATCATACCACTGCATTCCAGCCTGGGTGACAGCGAGAACCTGCCTCAAAAAAAATAAATAAATAAAAGTGACAGTACTGTAAAGGCTGTAATAGGGAGGCACATTTGATTAATTCTAGAGATCAGAAGGATGAGCAATAATGGTTTGCCCTGGGGGGTAAAGGAGGAAGGCAGGCCTTAGAGGCAGAAGGACTAGTATGAGCAAAAGTATAGGCATGTTAATATGTGTGGCATATGTAAAAATGCAGCAATGGATACAAAAAAATAGTAAAACCAATGATGACACTTATCGAGCATCTGCTATGTGTCAGGCACTATCCTAAGCACTTTACATGCATTACCACATGGATGAGCCACATGTGTGGGAGTGGCCGGAGGTGAGGCCGAGGAGACAGCTGGGGGTCATCGGATGATGGAATGCTTTGAATGTTGTGACAAGGGGTTTGGACTTTGTCCAGCAGGAGAGAGCCACTGAGAGTTATAAATAAGTACTACAAGACTGGACTTGGGATTTTAAAAGTTTCCTCTGCTAGCTGCGTAGGGAATAGGTGGAGGAGGTGAGATGGGAAGCAAAGAAGTGAGTCTGGAAGTTTTTTCAATAGTTCAGAGAAGTGAAAATGGCAGAGGATGTATTCAGGAGAGGTAGAAATGGGTCTTGCTGATCCCTGTATACATGGGGGCAGAGGAGGAAGGGAGGGGATTCTATGAACTCAGGGGAAGAAACAGCTTTAGAAAAGTGGATGAATTCAGTCTAAGGTAGATTCAGGTAGAGGTGCCCAGAGGGCAGTTAAGGATTGAAGTCTAGAATCTGAGGGGCAGGTTTGGGCCAGAGTTAGATTAGGAGCAGTGGAGGACACCTTAACTCCATTCAAGCTGAAATTTGTCCTTTCAACACTAAGATTACCCCTGAATTCTCCTTTCTCTCCCCTTTGTCCTTACATTTTCACATGAACAGCTGCAAAGTGACCCAGGGAGGAACACACACATGCACAAGTCCACAGATGACAGAGGAACACATACATGCATCTGAAGGTGACAGAGGTCTAAAAATGCATACTCACGCCCATGCATGTAAATATACCTACAGAGGCCACACAGGCACGCTTTTCTGGAGAGAAAGAGGCGTGCTTTCTAGCTATTAATATATAGTGGGGTCTCTTCATCTAGCTGATGACCCTTGGCTGCTAGAAGGAGCAGGCCCACTTGGTCGTGGAGACTCCCTCTACAATTCATTCATGTAAAACATTGCAAGAGGACATCTAAAGCCTTCACTGAGCTGTTATTCCACGTTCCACACATTTGTAATCCATTTCCAGGTAAGCCACTGTAAACTGAGAATAACTCCTTCTAGCTACAAGTAGGTGATCCAACCACCTGCAGTTAAACACACACCCACTGCAGCACTGAATTCTCCTACCGAAAAGCTTCTGCAGGACTTGTCCATCATATAAATCTTCAGCCAGGTCTTTCACAATGATTCTTTCTCCAACCAACACATCGTTAATCCAGTCAATTAATACCTACACAGAGAGAGAGAGGGAACGAGCAATAATAAGAAAGAGTTATGGTTTATTTTCTTACAGACCAGCTTTCTTATCCTAAACAATTAAAATCTAAATGAACTTTAGATTTTAAGTTTCACTTTATTTGAGATAGGGTCTCACTATGTTGCCTAGGCTAGACTCAAACTCCTGGGCTCAAGTGATCTTCCTGCCTCAGCCACCTGTGTAGCTGAGATTATGGGAGTGTTCCATTGTGCCCTGCTTTGAACTTCAAATTTTAAAAGCAGAAGAACTATCCACATGACCCAGTGTGTGCACAGGTAGCTGCAAGTGTGAGCCCTACTGGCCTTCTTAATTTTCAGATGTACATCCTGCTAGTGCTGGTGGCACCAGTGTCCCTGTTAATATCTATGTCCCCTATTATTCCTTACTCTAATGGCAAGCAACATTCACAGTGTATAGCCATGAAAAGGTGGTTCACACCGGTAACCCCAACACTTTGGGAGGTCGAGGCAGGCAGATCATTTGAGGTCAGGAGTTTGAGACCAGCCTGGCCAACATGGTGAAACCCCGTCTCTACTAAAACTACAAAGATTAGTCAGGCATGGTGATAGGTTTCTGTAATCCCAGATACTCGGGTGGCTGAGGTAGGAGAATTGCTTGAACAGAGAGGTCGAGGCTGCAGTAAGCCAAGATTGTGCCACTGCACTCTAGCCTGGGCAACAGAGTGAGACTCTACCTCAAAAAAAAAAAAAAAAAAAAAAGAGTTAAGCATACAGTGATGAGTTTTGGTCATTGTGCACAGTAGTTTAACCCCCACCACAACTGAGATACAGAACAGTTCCCTCCCCCGTAAGATGCTTCCGTAGGCCCCTTTGTACTCAATCTTCCTCCCTGACCACAGGCCTGGGGGAACCACTACAGTTTCGACATTTCTCCAATTTCTTATAAGTGGACATCATCCTTTGTGTTGGATGTCTTTGCCTTAGCATAAATATGCTGCCTTTATAACACAGCAATAGCCAGACAGCACTGCCATCCCTGGGTGGGCTGATGTTGGAGCCTGGAGGCTTTATAGGACATTGTTCCACTGTCCCAAGACAGGAAGATAGCAACTGTAACACCTACTGTATACCAGGCACTGCACTGTATCCAGTACAGTAAGTCCCCACCTCTGTCTTGGAGAGGCTTATGGGGGCAGAAAACCGGTCAACCAAAGGATTATAACATAAAGGGTTCAAATCCTAGGGTGGGAAGGACATGGTGCTATGAGAGTAGAGGAGAGGCCCCAACAGGCTAGGAGTGGGCAGGAGAGATCAGGAATGAGGGGAGGCCTCCAGAAAGCCTTGTGTTTGAGGAGACTTTTTTTTTTTGTGGTAGGGTCTTGCTATGTTGCCCAGGCTGGAGTGCAGTGGCTATTCACAGGTACAATCATAGTCCACTATAGCTTCGAACTTCTGTCCTCAAACCTTCATCTGAAAGTAGCTGGCACTACAGGTACATGCCACTGTGCCCAGCACCTAAGGAGACTCTTAAAAGAATACTAGGAGTTGACCAGAAAGAGTAGGATTTCAAGGTGGTCAAACCAGCCTAGATCTAGAAAATTGAACCTCCCTCTGGAAGTACGGAGGTAGCTATAAAGTGATCCGTGTGTTTGGTCAGCACTCCAGGGCTCATGCCTATGTGCATCTCCAATCCTCCGCTCCCTCAAACAGGGCCCGAGTGCAGGTTTAGGTCTGGGAGATCAACACTGAAGACTGAACCATTTGGAGCCCATTCTGACCTTGTGCTTACCCTCAGGGGTCTCCTGAGCAAGTAGTAGCTTACCCATTCTAGCATGGTGAATGCCCTCTGATAGGAGCAAGCCCAGGGCTAGACCCTTTCCCCCTACCCTTGCCCATACAGGCCCAGCACCCCGGAGAGGTGCAGCAGCAGGCAGAGCCTGCACCTCAACTGTTCCATCTTCTTCCTGCACAGCAAGGCAAGGGCTTAGGGTCTCACTGGGCAGTGGCAGTCACCTGTGGGTGCAGCACAGACTGCATCAGGAAAGGCCAGATACCCAACATGCATAGCCCAACTGCCTATGGGGCTCTGGTTGTGATCCAGGGGAGTAAGAGGCTGCATGGCGGCCTAGCCAAGGCTGCCTCCTTTCTCTTGAACTCTGGGGTCAGGGCACAGACTCAGGGCACAGACTCCCTTCAGCAGACAGAAGGGACATTTATACATCTCCTCTGACATGACTGCCCTCAGTCCTCCAGTCCCTAGTGAGATGGCCCAACCCTCACATGGGTTTGATTTTACTTCTGAATACTCCTGGCTGACTTTGAAATTCCTACCCATTCATCCACCCACCCTTCCTCCTCCTTCCTTTCCTCCATCCATCCTCCAATGTTTATTAAATGCCTGCTATATGTGATATTCTGTGCTGGGTCCTTGGGGTACAATGATAGAAAAAAAGTTTCTAACCCCAAGAAGTTCACCATTTAGTGAAAGAGACAGAGAAGTCTGCTGTAATATTACGTGGAGACGACAACAGAACTAAGGACAGCATAGTAGCTGTCCTAGCAGCCACGGAGGGGCTGAGCCATGGCACTAGAGTTCAGAGCAAGCTTCCTGGAGCAAGTAGCCATGCTGAGACTTTCAGATGAAGGGCATGAGAGGCATTGTAGTCAGAGTGGACTGCATTAGCCAGGCTTTGGCAGTGGGGAGTTTTGGGTGCACGCATGGGCTGCTGGGAGGAGCAGTTCTGGCATCCCTGTGTTGCCGGGTAGTGGTTAATCTGAGGTTTGAAGAGGCAGCTAGAGCAAGGACGCTAAACACCACCTCTAGGAGTGAACTGCAACCTGAGGTGGACAGGAAACTCTGACAGATCTTGCACAGGGGAACCGCGTATTCAGATTTGCATGGGGAATGAATCACTCTGACATCGTGCTTTTTTTTTTTTTTTTTTTTTTTGAGACAGGGCCAGGCTGGAGTGCAGTGGTGTGATCATAGCTCACTGCAACCTCTGCCTCCCAGATTCAAGCCATCCTCCCACCTCAGCCTCCTGAGTAGCTGGGACTACAGGCATGTGCCACCACACTTTGCTAATTTTTGTATTTTTAGTAGAGATGGTGTTTCACCACGTTGCCCAGGCTGGTCTCGAACTCCTGAGCTCAAGTGATCCATCCGCCTTGGCCTCTGCAGAGTGCTGGGATGACAGGAGTGAGTGCCTTTTGTCTTAAGTGTAGCCTGGTTAAGCTGAAGAGGAGGAACATAGGACAGGGAATAAGATGCAGGTGAGAAACAAACAGTTTTGGAAGGACAAGCACACACCAGCCACTGCAGGTACATTATGCACAATATGTCACTTCACCTCCTTCATTTCTGCTTGAATTCCGTCTCCTTATTTATGACCATAAACAAACCTTTTGGCTTTTCTGAGACTTGGTTTTGTCATCTGGAAAACAGGGATGAGACTAATTCCTACTTTACTGCCTGCTTTTGAAGGTCCTTGAGAAAATAAGCATTTTGTGCACTCTGGAATCCTGGCCATCGTGAGCTTACCTGTACTGAACTGTCTGGTGCTGTGACCAGCACCACTCACTGGGCATTTGTCACGTCCCACGCTTACATAATTGGTTACATTTTCGATAGCCATCTACTAGACCACCCACTGCCTGAGGCAGGGGCCGCCATGACTTTCTACCTTCACGGAGGGGCTCGTGGGGTGCCTGCACAGAGCAGGTGGCATATGGACACCTGGTGGGTCTGTGAGGCACCTGAAGCCGCTCCTGATTTCTTCTTACCTTCATCAGTTCTTGAAGCTTGGGGTCACTGCGTGAGTTTGGATCCACCATTGTTCGCACCTCATTCTCCTCTTTAAAAAGAAAAGGAATTCAGTGGGGGTGCTGGCACGAGAAAGCTTAAGCGAATTCAGAGACAAGAGTACAGTTACCCAGCATTGTGTCCTCGGGGTCCAGCTCGAAGGGAATCGGGCTGAGGGGCAGGTTAATGGCGTTCATTCCCTCCTCCTGCAGCTCGGACACTGGAAGAAAAGGAAGAGCAGGGTCACATTTCAGCTGACGGACGGCAGGGGGTCGGAGCTCTGTAACAAGGGTGTTAGATATTGACATTGAGAAAAAAACCCACTAAGGGTAGATTACAGCTGTTACTCAGCCTACGATCAATTCATGGCCTTGCCTGGCTGAAAGGACCTAATTGTCCCCTTAATCTCACCTCTGCCAGCTGTCACTTCACTTGCCTTCCTCAGGGAAGCAGTGAGGTCTCAAAAGCACAGAAATCTCCCTCCTCTCAGAAAAGATTTCGGAATAAATGGAAGCGAGGTGGGTGCTGGCTTCTTTCTGAGTCTCTGCCTCCTGCCTGTCCCTTCTTTCTGTCTGGTGCCCAGTGACTGTTTGCTGACAGGATGAACGGGGTCATGGGTTTGAGGCTATATGTACGTTGTAAGGCATTTCCATCCTCACTTCCACCCTCCTCTGACTTCTCACCTCTCCTGGCTTCCCTGAGGTACTCTCCTGATTATCTGCCTTCCCACCTCCATCCAACCCCAGCCACCGCTCAAAAATACCTCAGTCCTGGCCCTCCCCTGAGCTCTGGTCCTGTGCCTTGAGATGGAACCAGCTGTGGGACCTGGGGCCAGGCACTTCATCTCTCTTGGCCCACTTCCTCAGCTGAAAATAAGAGTTTGACTGGATGAACAGTAAACTTTTACAGTCTTAGAATCCTAGAAATCTATAGTTCTACCTTCCTCAGAAAGAAAAACAAAAACAGGTAAAAACTACCAAAGATTACCAGCCCACGCTCCTCCAAGTGCCCAGCCCCCATATGGAGCCTTAGTACAGAAAAATTCCTCCCACAAAACCAGTTGTGTGACAGACATTTGGTGAGTGCTGACCTTGGATTACCCCTCCTAAAAGCAGTGACTTAAATCCCCTTGCTTTTCGCCAATTAAGCACAGAAAGGCCATTTTCTCAGAGGCGTTGGTCACCAAGAGGTTCTTAAAGAGCTAATACAGCAGCTGCAATCAACCTTAATAAAAGCAACGTCCCATCTTTCCATTTTATTTTTTTTATTGACTCTGGCCTCACCAACTGCCAGCATAGACTTGCAAGAAATTCTAAGCACAAGGCAGCCACTTACAAAGAGTTCTTTCACATCAGTACACGCACTGATAGCTGCAGCTGGACTGAAAGGAGAATGAGGAACAAAGGGAGTGAAACACACTCTACGCCCTAAGAGACACAACTTGCATGGCGAGGCTGGTATTTAGTACCTCTGCAGTGGGCCTTTGACATTCACATAGGGTACCAGCCAGTCACCACCTTGAATCTCCACATTCATAGACACCTACCATTTCATAGAATTCTCCATAAAACATGACAGAAACACAGAAGGGGTACCTTCAAAGCTTAAATCAAACTTGTCCAACCCACAGCTCACGGGCTGCAACGTGGCCCAGGATGGCTTTAAATGCAGCCCGACGCAAATTCATAAACTTTCTTAAAACATTATGAGATTATCTGGAGATTTTTTTTTTAATAGTTCATCAGCTATCATTAGTGTTTAGTGCATTTTATGTGTGGCCTAAGACAATCCTCCTTCCAATGTGGCCCAGGGAAGCCAAAAGAAATGATTCTGTAGGTACAGATTGTGTTTGTTTTCCAGTTAAGCACAACTGCTTCCTTAGACTTCTATAGTTTCTTCTAATATCTCCCCTAAACTACGAATTTTCTTTCTTTCTCAGGCTATTTCTCACAAAGAAGCACCGTTTTCATTACTTTGTTAACAAGCATTGCTGTGCATGCAGTCAGCAGTGGAAATAAAGTCATGTTTAAACGTGGCTGCAAGTCTAGGCTTACTGGCCAGTGAAAGAACTTGCTCCTGCCTGGGAATTTCTCTCCTGTAGCTACACTGATCTGCACTGTCCAATACAGTAGCTACTAGCCACTTGAGCTATTTAAATTTCAATGAATTAAAAATTCCGCTCCTTAGCGGCACCACCTATATTTCAAGCACTCAATGACTACAAGTGGCTGGTACCTACAATACCGGACAGCATGGATGTAGAAAGTTTCCATCACAAGGTCGTCAAGTGTGTTCTCATGATTTAAGTGAGGACATGCCATATTCGATTTTCTGCTCCTGTGTTAGTTTGCTAAGGATAATAGCCTCCAGCTCCATCCATGTCCCTGCAAAACACATGATCCTGTTCTTTTTTTTTCATGGCTGCATAGTGCTCCATGGTGTATATGTACCACATTTTCTTTATCCAGTCTATAGTTGATGGGAAAATAATCCATACAACAAACCCCCGGGACACAAGTTTGCCTATGTAACAAACATGTACCCCTGAACTTAAAGTTTAAAAATAAAAGTTTTTGAAGAGATTAAGTGGATAATGTTGTCCTAGGTCATCCCATTCAACTAATGTCCATGTCCACATTTAAATCTCCAACCCGGGTCTGACTCTGAGCTCCAAGCTTATGAATCTAATTGCTTATTCAATGTATCCTCTTAATTCTATTAGTAGAGATCTCAAATGTACACATCCAAACAGAACTTGTGATTCTCAACACCCTCATACCCACCATACCAGCACTAAAATGAACCTGTTCTTGATTCTTATCCTCCTCAGTAGATGGCACCACTATTTACACCATGGTTCATGCCAAGCTCCGAGGAATCGCTCTTAAGTTCTCATTTTCCTCACTTTTTACATCCGTCCAAAACACTGGCAAGTTTTGTGGGCTCTGCCTCCAAACCAGGACCCAATTCCCCACTTCTCACCATCTCCCCACTCCACCACCCTGACTTGAGTCACCGTTATCTTTCACCTGGTCTATCAGAACCACCTTCTGACGGCTCTACTGCTTTGCTTGCATTTCCCCCACTCTCACCTACTTCCCACAGTGCAGCCAGAATGTTCTATAAAAATGTAAATAGGATCATACATTCTCCCACTTCAAGTTTTCTTGTGACTTCCCATCATACTCAGGTCATAGGTAGGAGTTGAGATTTTATTCTATCAGACTCTGATTAGTGCCCCCCACCTCTCTCTCATGTTTTATTTTCTCATCATGATCTGAAATAATAATGTATATGTCTGTTAACTCTCTCCCCCACCAGAATGTAAGTTTTGTAAGGACTGGCACTATTTCTCTTTTGTTCACTATTAGATCCTCCATGAGGCCAGAGGGTACAGTGGTTAGAAGCCAGGCTGCCTACGTTCACATCCAGACTCTACCATCCACCAGCTCTGTGGCCTTGGGCAAGTTCCTCAACCTCTCATGCCTTAGATTTCTCATCTGCAAAATGGGAGTGACAGCAATATTGCTGACCTCCAAGGGTTGCTGAGAAGATTAAATGAGTTAATATATGCAAAGTACCCAGAAGCATGCGTGGCAGATGGTAAGAGCTAGGTAAATATATGCAGCTATTATTACGACTTAAAACAACATCTCAAGCATTGTAAGCACTCAAGAAATATTTGTTAAATACATAATTCAAACTGTAAAGACTACCCTTCAACTGCACAGGTTATGAGTTGCGACAGAATTTGCCAAAGCAGAGTATGGGATGCAAAGGATTTTACCTTTTTCCCAGTAAAACAAAATACATTTACATTTTAGCCTGTGTATGTGCACGTGTGCATGCGCACGCACGCACATTTCTGGGGCAGCATTTCCAGCTTACATTTTGTAAGGGAAGTAAAGTCACATCTGTCCCAAGACTTGTTGTACAGCCAAAGTGAGCCAATTTGTAAATAGAGAGGTATTGAAACATCTCTAAAGTGTGACTAGCAACGCAATATTTGAAGCCAGGACTCCTAAAGGTGGATCTGAACAGGATCTCTTTTTCTGCATAGATCACTGTTAAAAATGTTTTCAGAGGAAAAATCCCCAGTCAGAAACATTCCCCTCTGCCCTGCCTCTTTAATTCACTCACAGAGACATAACAAATCCAAGAAGAAAGGCCAAGATATGTTTGCAATTGGAAATGTTTTTTTCAGGAAACGATTTGGTACAGGAACATCATTCCCATTCCATTAACTGCTGACTCTGAGCCAACTGTTTGTAAAAGTGAATATGCAAACTGCCCAGTGCAGGCCTGGCCCCTGCCCCATGGGGCCCCATTAGTGGCCACTTTCCCAAAACAGCCCTCCTGCTTTGGAGGTTTCATTTCTATTAAACCAAAGCAGGACCCAGCAGAAGCCCCTTGCCAATCCTCAGGCACTGAAAGAGAAAGAGTCACAACCAAATTTTCTCGGTACAGAATGGGAATCTGAAGTTTATCCCCTGAACCTCCTCTGACAATCTAAAACTAGGTCCGAATGTCTTGCAGCGCCATTGAGTCATAACTTAATAAACAGATCAAATGCCCAGCTGAAGGTCGGGCTAGGGAAAGCAGGAAGATTGCCTGAACCCCTGAAGTGCTCACCATGAGAAAGGGGGCCTTTGTTTCCAGGGATATGTGGTCTGACTCTGGGTCCACATGCACAGAAGAAAGTACCTGGATGGGCTTTGGTGTATGGATTTGAACCCTACTTCTGTTTTTATCAACTGTGGAACCTTATTTAAGTAGGTTAACCTCCCTGAAATTCAGTATAAAACAATTCTGTCCATAACAAGGGTGTAGCTGACACTGGTGGTTTGCTCCCCAACATTTATCCGTTTTCCCTGCTGAAAGAACCCTCATTTTGTTCCAGTATACGCCCCTCCCTCCTATGCCTCCAGGTAAAGCCACTATTGGTTTAAACAAATCATGATGATCTTGATCCCTGTAGCAGTGGTTGGCTCAAGCATCATCATGTCAATTCTGATCAATGAACTGTGACAGAAAATTTCTAGAAGCTTCCGGAATCACTTTCCTTCATTCTAAAGAGAGACCCAAGGAAGAGAAGGCAACCTCCTCCTTCTAATCATTATTGTGCCAGGATATTATACCTGGATTTGTTGCAGCCATTTTGTAGCCATGCACTGAGTAAGCTCAAGGAAGAAGCTAGCGTGTTGAGGTTGGCAGAGAAGA